GAGCCCTGTATAATAAAGCCCCAGTTTGACGATGAGTCCTTGTAGACAGAAACCAAGGCTTTGTAAATAGAACAGGAACCGTGCTGCATGGAGAACTGCAAGAACAGCACTCTAGGACCAATTTGCATTATTGGATTGTGCAAGACTGTGTGTTCTGATACTCTACGACAGTATTTGGCCAAATCAAATTTTAATTTTCTTCTCATAAGAAGTCTGGGGGGAGGCAGTTGGTACAGCAGCTCCATGATGTACTTAACATATCAGGCTCCTTTTATTTACCCACTCACCCATCCCTTAGCAGATGGATTTGGACATCAGGCTTGCTACCTCACAGACTCAAGATGGCTGCTTGGTCTTATATCCACAGTCTAGACCAAAAGAAAGAAGAAGGAGAGGGACAGGGAGCTCCTGTGTTTGTAAAGCAAAACCTTCTTAGTTGTTAGAGTCTGTAAACAAGTCAAAATAACACCTGGCATTTTGCCAGGGGAATGTTAAAGTTCGTAAACAAGTCTGGATGGTGCCTGGCAGAATGCCAGAGGGAGTGGTTTGAGAAGTAACAAAAGCAAGCCATTAAGTGTGGAGATTCCTGATTGGTTGACTGATGTATCTAGTTTATGCTAATTAGATAAGCTGTGTGGAATGTATAAATACTGCTCCTGTCCTGCAATAAATGGCTCCTACTCCTGCTGTATCAACGTACACAAGTTATTCGTCACCCCCCAGCTATTTTGCCCAGCCAGCCGGGCTGCGGCACCTAGTTATCCCAAGTAGACTCCTATTTGCTTCTTATGGCCACCTGGAGCTGCCAGGAATCCACCTGTGGGGATTTTAATACCCTCTGGCTTCTCTGCATCCCTGTCTCCCTCCTAATAGCATCTTTCGGGGTTTCCTTCTGAGGGTGGCCTCTCTTCCACTATGTGAGTCTTAGTAGGTGAGGAAATTCAAAGGAGTCGGCAACACCTCCCTCAGGACAGCCAGGGGAGTGTGTACTAATGTGGTCAATCAGAGGGCCTCTCCCAGGACTGTCTAATGACTGAGAGATCATAAGAATGTCTAAGATCTGATCGGTACCCTGCAGTGACATCCCAACTGGACCATTTCTACTAAGAGCTCCTTCCTCAGCTTCTTGCTTTCTAGCTTTTCACGGCTCTTTCTAAGCCCTGATCTCCAATCTTCCTGTGCGTTCTGGGGTCCAATCCTACCAATAAAGCCTCTTCTATGGGGTGAGCGGAGACTGTGTTTGTTGATGGTATCAAACAGATGAACAAAACCCTAACAGTCCATCCCCATCATGGGCTTGCTGTGTGAGACCCTGAGAAAATCCTCTAACCTCTTTGGGTAACAATCTCTTCATCATAAAATGATGGCTTATTCTGTAAGTGTGACCGTTCTGAACAATTTTAAAATTCTGATCACTTACAGAAAGCCCTTTTGTACCAAATAGGCTCTAATGAACATCAAGATCTGCATTCAGGTTTTAGAGGCAAGGGTAGGATGTAAAAGCTCCATTAGGAAAGACAACGGAAGCACTGGGGTGCAGCTGCTGGAGCATTCCGTAGACAATTAAGCCTAGGTAGACGCCAGTCAGAATCCACTGAGCGCCAGAATGCAATGTTTTCATTAGCAAAGAGTATTCTGGCCATAATTTCCAGGGTTCACTTAAACTGCTATGATTTCAACTGTTCTTGGATCTAAGACCTCTTAATTACTCCATTGTAAAAGATGTTTTTAGGGGGCATTTGTTTTCCATCTGAATGCCTCTTTTGCAGCAAAACTTCAGCATAAAGGGAAGAGACCTCTGTAAACTCAGTCCACACCTTCAAGGAAAAAAAAAAAATGTTTTCTTAGAACAGCAAAGTGGCCCCAGTTTGGCCTTATGTTCTAGCAAAAGCTCATTGCTTAGCTGCATTTAATAATCCATGAAACATTTCTATTAACTTTAGTGTGTATGAATTGTGTGACTGCAATATGGGTAAAATAAAATTTTAAAAAAAGTGAGAGAGAAGCAGGAATACAAAATATGCAGAAAATGAAAATAAGTGAGATCTTAAATATTTGATCAAGGCCTTCCCTTTTCAGGTAGCCAGTTACCATCTTGGGCTCTCGAGTGCCTACAAAAGCCACGGAACACCATTCTGAATTATTCAAATGACAAGGGGAAACTTTTTTCTTTTTACTACTTTTAAAAAAGCCTGTAGCCTTTCAAGCTAACCTTTACTTAAATATTTAACACAGACATGGGGTCAAATAGAAAATAGCAAAATTTCTCAGTCAAATACTCAACCTGTAATTATGAATCGGTTTAGATAATGCAGTCCAGCCAAACTCCCTTTGGCCTTTTTCTGTGTTCTAACAATTCTTTCCGGAGTGAGGAATCCAGCCTAGCTTACTTGAAAGCTTGCATCCTAGAATGCTTTTAATCTATGTATTCACTGATTTTTTTTTATTCACTCAATTCTGTTCTTTCACTTTTTTTTTTCATTCATTCGACAAATATTTTTTGAATACCCACCAGGAGCCCGGCACTCATCTGGATGTGGAGATACATCCAGAAATAAAATATATGATAAAGACTCAGCTCCTGGGGCTGGGGATATGGCTCAAGCGGTAGCGCGCTCACCTGGCATGCGTGCGGCCCGGGTTCGATTCTCAGCACCACATACAAACAAAGATGTTGTGTCTGCCGAAAACTAAAAAATAAATAAATAAATACTAAAATTCTCTCTCTTTCTCTCCCTCTCTCTCTCCCTCTCTCTTTAAAAAAAGACTCAGCTCCTTTGGACCTTACGCTTAAGTGAGGGAGACAGACAATAAATAAAAATATACTCTAATAACAAATAAGAAGTACTCTGAAAGGGGTGGTGTGTGGGAGTGCGTCTTTGGTTTTTGGCAGGTGGAGTTTCAGAAGGCTGATGAACTGGGCAAGCTGTCTTGAGACTAAGGGGATGTGTCCTGTCAGTGAGTGACAACAGCAACACAGCTATGGGGTACAAGTATGCCCAGGGCATCTGTTATGGCTTGGAGATGAGGTGTCCTCCCAGAGCTCCTACTTGCACGTGACTATTTGTCTTGAGACCTGCTTCTGGGGGACTCCATCTCACTCATCTTCTACATAAAGTCCTTCTCCTTTCTCAGAGCCATCACCTAGGCAACTTCCTTAAGCTATAATGGCAAATAGGATCCAGGAGAAATTAAACTTACTAATAAGGGAGAGGACCAAAAATTCTAACCCCATCATACCCAGGATCCAGTTGCTGCCTGTGATTGTAAGCAAAGACCATTGCTCACATGTAGGTATTTTCCCTTCTGAATGTTAGGAGTCAGGGGTCTCCAGAATGGATTTCTCAGCCACTGCCTCTTTCTCACCCAGGTTAGGTAAAGTTTGGCTGTTACATGAGGTTCCTATCTCCTATAATAAGTGGTCACTATCTCTTGCCCAGGAAGCCAGTCTCCTTCTAGAGCAAGCCTTGGTCTTCACTAGCCCAGGAAAGAAAGCTTTGATTCATGGGGTCTAATCGCCCAGTCTTTCCCTCCCTGGCCTAGGGTCCTGACTCATAATGACCTGGCCTCTGATTTTAATCTGAGAGCTCCTACCAATCCATCATGCCACAGGCTACACAGAGATGCTTAGAAATCCCCAAGCTCTCATAGCGCTCCTGCCATGCTGGGACATAAACTGACTTAATAAAGAAGAACCAAAGATCATTATTCTTGTATACTTACATGTTAAGCTACTTAATTCTCCCCCAAAGCTAGTTGGGGGGAGAATTCAATTACAGTGAAGGAAACTGAGGCTTGGAAAGGTAAAGCGACTTGCCCCAGTTCATCAGATGGGAGAGAGGGATCCACAAGGCATGGACACCGCATTTTCAGCCTGAGTGGGAAGCACCCTTCCTCTGGGTACTTACTGGGTGGTAGCTGGGTGCTCCCTGTGCTTGGAGGTCACTGTTCCTGCCCAACTAACCTCATGAGAACACTCTGAGGATCTGGTGACAAGAGAGTCAGGACCTACATGAGCTTCCAGAAGCACTCCCCATCCTCAGGTGAGGGCCTGGCATTGTAGTTAGGAATACAAACCTTGACATCATCCTTGATGTTTTTTTTTTGAATAGTCCAATTCACTCCTTTAGGAAATCCGATTGGCAGAAACTGGTGAGTCTTGACCTTCCAGACCTTCGCAGCAAGTCCCTTGTGAGTGTCAGGAGTTTTAGAGGGTTTGGGGGTGGGGAGCAGAGAGGTCAGACTGCATTAGGGAAGCAAATTAGAGACCCATATTACCTAGGAAGATCTGAGAGGCTTAGGACCTGAATCTCCCAGGCCCCAGGCTTTTGAGGTCAATTCTTTTTTTAATTCTAAATAAATTTTCCCTTGTTGGTCCTAGCTCTGTGTTTTTTTTTCCGTAAAACTGCCCTTCTCCATCCCCCACAATTGTGTAAGCTCAGGCCCCAGAAAACCTTCATGCACTCCTGGTTTGAGGTTTCAGCCCTCAGAGGGCAGGGCTGGAGAACAGAGGTGTAAATTTGTCAGGAGAAGGAAGCAGGGGCGCAGTAAGAGAGTAAATTCTCATCTAACATGGCAGAAAGTCAATAGATAAATCAAGAAATCGCTATGTAAGCTTTTTTTTTTTTTTTTTTAAGCGACAAGGGGTGACCACCAGAAGAACTAACTAAACGAAGGAAATGATCAAAAGGGTTGTGGGTGAGAAGCAAGGGCGAGAGGCCTGTTGCTTCCATTAGAAGCACATTACAGGCAATCATTTTATTTTGTAAAAAGTGCTCATGCATACGCTGATATACTTTGTAATTCAGCCCTAAAAAAAAAAAAAGAAAGAAAGTAAAGTGAAAATGAGAAAGAAATGGAATACAAAATATAGAAAAATAAAAAGCAAACTCAGGTTGGGATTCAGGGCAGGAGCGCGGGGGCGGGTGGGGGTGGTGGGCGTGGCTTGGGTAAGGGGCGGGGCTGGTGGGGCCTTGTCCCCTAGGGGCCACGCTCGGGGCGGGAGCCTGCGGCCCAGCGGCTGCGTTCACACTCCGCCCACAGCGGGGAGTTGCGGGAGCGCAAGGTCAAGTGCGCGTAGACCCCGCCCCCCAGTGTGGGGGCGGGGAGGGCTAGCCCCGGACAGTTGGTCCCAGCCCCGGGACAGTACGGGCCCCGAGGCGGCCCTGCGTCGGGACACCAGGAGCGATCCCTGCTGCCCTGTCCTCCAGCGCGGGCCCAAGTTCAACCCGACAGATCCCCAGTCCCCGTCTCTGCGGGTGCCACTGCGGAGCCTCGCGACTCGCAGGTAAGAAGAGCCAGGGGCCCTGGCCCGCCCGCCTGCCTGTGCCAATGTGGGCACACGCAAGGACCTGGATCCCGGAGAGACACCTGGGCCCACGTGACTCCCGGTGGCGGGGGAGACTTGGGCGCCAGGTGGCGGCGGAGCTGCGGATTCCTGTAGCCCAGCACAGTTCCGCCCCTGCTTCCCAAACTGCCGGTTCTCGCTGCGTCCACCTGCGCCCCCACCCCACTCCGTTACCCGTTGGACTCCAACCTCAGCAGGCAGACCACCTTCTGCACGCGTGCACGCAACAGTGTAAAATAATGTCCACTCATCTTCCTCGTGTGCTGCTCAGTGCCCACCTGCCACTGGGCCAAGTACTGGGGTCACAGTGATGGGCTTGGGCTGGCAAATGTGGTGCACACCAAGTGAAGGGCCGTGCAGGGGAGCGACCTACACGAATAGATAATCCACACACTCAGGTGTAAAAGAGCTAGGAAGGAGAACTCCAGGGTGCTGGAGAACGTTTATCAGGGCCCCAACTGCAGAGGCTGCTGGAAGCCAAACTTTCATGGGAATCAGAGTTCCAGGGTGGAAAACAATGGAGCAGGCTTGTTGGGAGAGAGTGTGACTTGTTTGAGGAAGGGGAGTCAGAGGGACTGGCCTGCAGAGAGCTTGACTTCCTCCTGTGTAAATGGGACTGTTCCTACTTACTGAAGATGAAAGCCCTGTGTGTAGATGAAGGTGCCCTTCCAGGGGAGCAGTCAGGGGAGCAAAGTGGAGGTGTTCTGTGGGGATTCTGGGTGGCCTCTAGGGCTGCAACTCAGCAAACTCCCTTCCCCTCTCCTGAGGACGCTCTCCTCTGTGAAGTGAGGGATTCCAGTAGAATCTCTTAGATGAGGTCTGGTTTAGCCATTCATTCTTTAAACATATAACTGGTGTCCACCTTCCCTTGCTCTGAGGATTCTGAGAAATCAGACAGAGGCGCTGCCCACAAAGTGACAGTTCCAGCCTGATCAAACCCAGAGTAAGGGGTCCAACACTCTGGCAGTGCCCCAGGCGGGACCTGGGTCCGACCCCAGGTCCCACCTGGGGCACTGCCAGTTGTATGAGACTTGGGGCTCACGCTTTACCATCAGGTGTCAGTTGCTTCATGACTTTCACTGGTGACTCTTAGCTCTTGGGGTCACCATCTACACCTGGTCAGAAGACTCCCCAGGAAAAGCAACTCTGCTGGTCCCTTGCTGAGGACCCTCAGACTTTGAGACCCCCATGAATTTGGGAGACCCCTTTGGGCTTCAGGATTCACCTGTTAGTCACTTGGTGTGTTTTATGGGCTTGAATAATCCCAGGGTCTCCTATGGGTCTGTTGGTATAGAGGTAGGATTTGCTCCATGGAAGCCAACTAGGAGGCCCAGGGAGGGGGGTGGGACACAGTCCAGGGAGGAACCTGGCACCATTTGTGGGGAGTGACCAAAACCACAGGATAGATGTTAACAAAAGGGTGTTGGAGGGAGAGGGAGAGATGGCAGCCCTGGTGCAGCCCCTCTGTTTTCTCTCAAAGACCACAGCTCCTGTTAAAGAGAGAAGGGAAGCTCAAGTCTTGGTGGTCACAGACCTGGCAACTCTGTCCCTGACCCTGGGCAGTCACTTATCTCCTGAAGTATGAGGACAGTGGGAGCTAAACAGGTGCTTGGCGTATCATTGTCCCTGAAGAAACATTAACTCTAGCCCTCTCCTTCCCCTGCATGAACTAAAATAGGAGTTAATAACAGCGCCTACCTTAGTTATCCTGGAGATTGTCTGGATACCTAAAATACACTGAGCCTGCTGACTTGTGGAGGATACTACTCTGCTGCAGCTATTGTTATGCCTTGTTCTGGGTAAACATCCTGGGTGGAACTAAGCAGCAGGTGGGTTGGGGGCAGGGCAGGGACTTAGGGGACTGGGCAGGGTGATTAGAGGGGTAGTTGGATTATCTTGTGTAGTAGTGGTTTCCCCAGAAGCACAGGCCTCCATGTGAGAGGGATGTTCTGCATGATAAAGGGCCTGGGGGAAGCTTCTGTCAAACCACAGTGGTCCAGCCTATGAAGACTCAGGCCAGAAAAATAGCACAAGGTGTTGGTGGTTGGGGAGAGAATAAGATTGGAAGACATCTAAATGGTCTTTTTCAATGTTGCCTTTAACACATGGCCCTATACAGGTGCCCTTCAGGGGGCTACCTGCCTTTGCCCTGCTGACCTCCACCAACCAAATGGGTATGGGAATTGTCTGGGGCTGTCTGGCTCTCTGTGAAGACCAATTTTATAACCTCTGCACCTGGAAGAGTATCATGTCTAAAATGCATGAACAAAAGAATGAATAAAAGAAAATAAGCCCAGAGACAATTTTTTTTGCTGTATACACATGGCGTGTTTTTTAAAATGGAATCTGTAGCCCAAGAAAGATAACTATTGTTTGTTGTTGCTGTTGTTTTGCTGAGGGCCAAGCATGTTCATGCATGTGGCAGCTTCATGATGAACATGAAGGTTTGTGGTCAGATGATGTCACTGCTGTCACCTCCCATGCATCACAGAAGTTCACCAAACCTAAGCTTTTGCATCTGTAAAATGGGATTCTTTGTACCTAACTCAGCATTATGCAAGTTAACTACATGAAGCTCTGACCTCAGTGCCCACAGGCAGTATGGCAAGCCCTGAGTCTATAATAGCTGGTGTTATTTTTTATTATATTTATTATTTCCCTCAAAATCACCAATATAAAGAGGAACCACAGACCCAGGTGTGTGGCACTAATTCTGGACTCAGAATCATGTGGTAGCAAAGGTACTTTGCAAACACTAACCAGACAGTTTGTATGAAATGCAGTGAATTCTTGTGTGTTTCATTCATTACTTAAAGCACTTGACTGTGAGATCTTAAAAGGAAAAAAAAAACCTGGAAAATTATAATTTATATGCCTTTCAAGTTCAGGTATTTTATCATCTAGATAAATCTTCCAGGCATCTATGTTAAACCACTTTGAGCTGTCGAAGCTCTTAAATAAAGTGGCTTGTTCTGACCAGTGCCTGTGATTGTTTATCATAGTTCCCTGGTAACAATGGACAGATCCCAATTTGCAGGGCAGGCCTCAGGACAGCAGCTCCTGCCCATTTTTTTTAGCCTTGCAGTTCCACACGACGGTGTTGAACAAACCACACTGGACTCACAATTCCCTCGTCACTGTCTCTGTCACGTGCACATAACCCACGTGCCAGTTTAGAAATTAAAATAGCAAAGGATTCTTTGTGTGTGTGTTGGCGCGTGCATGCATGCTGAGGGTGGAACCCAGGGCTTCATGCAAGTGCTCCAGCAATGAGCTACATCCCCAACCTCAGAAGAGCGAGGCAACAGTTGCTAGTGTGAATCTGGAAATCAGCTCTGGAGTTGATGGGTTTGTGAGTGAGAGTGCTTTACATGAGGGTGATAGCATCTTCTGCAAGCCTGAGCTGTCTGCTCTCGCTTCACAGGGGTTCTCTCTCTTCCCTGACCCCTTGCCCAGGGGAGGCCTGACATCTTTCTGTTCCCTACTGCCTCTGCCTCTGGCCAGAGCTGCCCCTCCGCCCATAGTCCCTGGGCAGCTGCAGCCTGTGGCAGGAAAGCCTTCCTAGGTCGGCTCCTCTGCCTTCCCAGGTAACTGTGGGCACCTCTGCTGCATGCCCCTCTCCAGCTGCCCGAATCCTCTTCTGCAGAGTTGGGAGCACTTCCACAGCTATCCAGGGGTCCTGCACCTGGTGTTGTGCCTGGCCCATCATCAGATCTCTCCTCCTTCCTTTCTTCCTTCTTTTCTACAAATGTTTCAGGCAGTGTCCTGGGGATTTGAATAAGAGGTAAAGACGACACAGTCCTGACCCTCGTGATGAAGCCCACACACATCATGAGATGGATTTAATGAAAACAGAATTAAGTACATAAATATCCACAGTGACCCATCATAAACCGGGTCAGCTGCCGTGAAGGAGGGACCCCTGGTGCCACGACTATGTGTGGAAGTGGGACAGAGACAGTCAGTGTGGACTGCTGAGAGCCATAGCCCAGTTGGAATGACGCGTGGCATTTTTGCCAGAACAGAGTGGTTGAGAGGTGACACCAGCAAGCCATTGAGATGATAATGGTTATGTTAAGCTGTGTATTCAATTGTATATTAGACCCCTGCTGACCGCCTTGGCCTGCTACTTTGGAGTTCTCTAGGGGATTCCTGGAGAGTTCCCATTGGTTGGGAAAGTGCGGGAGGAGGGATTTCCGGAGGAGGGATTTCCAGGTGGTGTGTGGTGTGTCCTCAGAGAAGGCCAGTGCGTGGCATTAGTGGGAGTGCGGAGAATAAAGGAGTTCCTGTTTTGAACCTACAAGGCTGTGTGGCGGCTCGGTTATTTTGTGCCCAGCCAGACTGCCGCAGTGGACATAGGTTCAGCAAGCCCGTAGGTGTCCATTGGAAGGTCATATTCATTTATTCACATGCCTTTAAAGACTGTTGTGTGTATTTTCTATAAATTCTGGTAAACAGTGTTTTGTGCTGTGGGTAATCCTACTGAGAATGTGTATTTTTTCCTTGTAATTATTTTTTATTTATATATGACAGTGGAATGCATTACAATTCTTATTGCATGTATACAGCACAATCTTTCATATGTCTGGTTGTATACAAAGTATATTCACACCAATTCATTTCTTCATACCTGTACCTCGGATAATAATGTCCATCACATTCCACCATCATTTCTAACCTCCTGCCTCCTTCCTTTCTAGAGTCCTCTGCCCTATCTAGACTTCTTCTGTTCCTCCCATGCTCCCCCTTCCTACCCCGCTATGATTCAGCCTCCTTATATCAGAGAAAATATTCAGCATTTGGTTTTTTGGGATTGGCTAATTTCACTTGGCATTATCTTCTCTAACGCCATCCATTTACCTGCAAATGCCATGATTTTATTCTCTTTTCTTGCTGAGTAAAATTCCATTGTGTATATATGCCACATTTTTTTAATCCAT